TAGCTTGCAAGCCATCCTTCCTCAGAGAACTCAAAAATGCAGGAAGAAACTCCTTCCACAGTCCATTTCTACCTTAAGGGGTAATTAAGAAAAAATTAGCACTTTTCCTTTCCTTTTCTGAGAGAAGGTCTGTTAATGGTGTTTAATGTGAGTTGATAATGTTTGCCAAAAATGCATGCTGTAAATCATACAATTGAAATTCTGAGAGCATCTAAAAGTGGCATGAAATTAGCTTTAAAGTTGAAATTTGGAGAAAAGATCACTACGTGCCGAATACATGTACTGAATTTTTTGAATGCTCTCAGCCCACTGGAGAAAGATAAATTAAATTCATTGCATATTACACAGTGGAAGACCTCCTACAGGATTCCCTCAGATTGCCCTGGGAAAATATTTTTCTGGTTACAGTGGGTTTTGAACTAATCAACCAAGCACATCATAAAATTTATATATACGTATATATTTGCATTTATATAGGAAATAATGTTTCCAGCCCTCCCTGCTATCATTTAATGATAATAATAATGAGTCTTTTTTGTGTGACAGTAACTGTCATTTCATATTCATTCTCACGTTAACTAAACAATGCTTCGTTGTTGTTAGGTGCCCTTGAGTCGGTTCCAACGCATAGTGACCGTATATACAACAGAACGGAATGCTTCCCGGTTCTGCTTTAGCACAGGGTAATACGGAAGAAAATCAAGAAATACATAATACAAGATAAGATTTATTTCTAATTCCTTTTTTTTTTTTCAAATGGTATCTCATTCCTGTTTTTAAACCGAGTAAGCCGTTTGGACAGCTTGTGCAGTTGATGAGCACCAGGAGGTGCACCCTTTACCACTGGCATCTCTCATAGTCACTAGTTTTTTAGTCACTAGGGGGAAACCCTCCATCAGACTTTTAAAAATTACCTTTTTCTAATTTGAAATTCCGATCTTGTAGGCCAGTAAAATAGGTCAATTAAGTTGACACCACATCTTTTTTATTAGCTCAGCTAAGCAATTATAATTGGGTGGTGAGGGTTTATGCTGTCATCTTTGAAGATTCAGTGGTGGGAAGAAATGCCCAATGCAGAACTGTAATTTACAACTCCAGTATATCCCTAAACACTCAGCATAAGGATATTCCCATCCACTTCCAGATATGAGGCAATTTTGTTCTCGGACTGTTAAAATTAGTAGTGTCATTTTTTGCAGTAAAATAAAAGCATAATAAATTATGTACCCTTGTGACAAAATTGTTTAGCACAAATGCACTGTAGACATATATGTTCTAGTTCAGCACTAAAAAAATAATACTTGAATGTATGTCACCAACACTGGACAATGGCACACATGCTGCACAGCATCTGTCTTGTGCTTTACAAAAAGTAAGTGCTCAATTAATACTCGTTGGAAACTTTACATCTCCTTATTAAAACTTATCCCCAAGATTGCACTAATGCTCATTGTAGCACTATTCACAAGGTCAAAAGTTAGAAACAACGTAAATGTCCATTAACCGATGAATAGATAAACAAAATGCGGTATACACATAGAATGGAATATTGTTGTTGTTGTTGTCGTTAGGTGCCCTCGAGTCATTTCCGACTCATAGCAACCCTGTGTACAACAAAACGAAAAACTGCCAGGTCCTGCACCATCCTCACAATCATTGCTATGTTTGAGCCCATTGTTGCAGCCACTGTGTCAATACATCTCATCAAGGGTCTTCTCTTTCACTGACCATCTACCTTACCAAGCATGATGTCCTTCTCCAGGGACTGGTCTCTTCTGATAACATGTCCAAAGTATGTGAGATGAAGTCTTACCATCCTCGCTTCCAAGGAGCACTCTGGCAATACTTCCTCTAAGACAGACTTGTTCATTCTTTTGGAAGTCCATGGTATAGTCAACATTCTTCCCCAACACCATAATTCGAAGGCATCAATTCTTCTTTGGTCTTCCTTATTCATCGTCCAGCTTTCACATGCATATGAGGCGATTGAAAACACTATGGCTTGGGTCAGGCTTACCTTAGTTTTCAAGATGACATCTTTCCTCTTCAACGCTTTAAAGAGGTCTTTTGCAGCAGATTTGCCCAATGCACTATGTCATTTGATTTCTTGACTGCCGCCTCCATGGGCATTGGTTGTGGATCCAAGTAAAATGAAATCCTTGACAACTTCAATCTTTTCTCTGTTTATCATGATGTTGCTTATTGGTCCAGGTGTGAGGATTTTTGTTTTCTTTATGTTGAGGTGTAATACATACTGAAGGCCTTAGTCTTTGATTTTCATCAGTAAGTGCTTCAAGTCGTCTTCACTTTCAGCAAGCAATTTTGTATCATTTGCATATCACAGATTGCTAATGAGCCTTCCACCAATCCTGATGCAAGTTCTTCTTCATATAGTCCAGCTTCCTGGATTATTTGCTCAGCAGACAGACTGAATAAGTATGGTGAAAGGATACAGCCCTGACACACGCCTTTCCTTATTTTAAACCATGCAGTATTCCCTTGTTCTGTTCGAATGACTGGCTCTTGGTCTATGTGCAGTTTCCCCAAGAACACAATTAAGTGTACTGGAACTCTCATTCTTCACAATGTTATCCATAATTTGTTATGATCCACACAGTTGAATGCTTTTGTACCAATAAAACACAGGTGAACATCTTTCTGGTATTCTCTGCTTTCAGCCAGGATCCATCTGACATCAGCAACAATCACATCCCAAGTTCCATGTCCTCTTCTGAATCCAGCTTGAATTTCTGGCAGTTCCCTGTCAATGTACTGCTGCAACTGTTTTTCAATTATCTTCAGCAAAATTTTACTTGCATGTGATTAATGATATTGTTCAATAATTTCTGCATTCTGTTGGATCACTTTCTTAGGAATGGGCACAAATATGGATCTCTTCCAGTGGAAACCCTAGTGGCGTAATGGTTAAGAGCTACGGCTGCTAACCAAAAGGTTGGCAGTTCGAATCACCAGGCACTCCTTGGAAACCCTATGGTTCAGTTCTAGTCGGAATCAACTCGACGGCAATGGGTTCCAGTCGGTTGGCCAGGGAGCTGTCTTCTAAATTTCTTGGCATAGACAGGTGAGCATCTCCAGTACTGCATCCGTTTGTGGTATTCCGTCAGTTCCTGGAGCACTGTTTTTAGTCAATGCTTTCAGTGCAGCTTGGACTTCTTTCTTCAATACCATCGGTTCTTGATCATATGTTACCTCCTGAAATGGCTGACTGTTGACCAGTTCTTTACAGTACAGTGACTCTGTGTATTCCTTCCATCTTCTTTTGATGCTTCCTGCGTCGTTCAATATTTAACTCATAGAATCGTTCAAAATTGTAACGAGACTTGAATATTTTCTTCAGTTCTTTCAGCTTTAGAAATGCTGAGCATGTTCTTCCCTTTTGGTTTTCTAACTCCAGGTCTTTGCATATTTCATTATACTTTACTTTGTCTTCTCAAGCCGCCCTTTGAAATCTTCTGTTCAGCTCTTTTACTTCATCATTTCTTCCATTTGCTTTAGCTACTGTATGTTCAAGAGCAAGTTTCAGAGTCTCTTCTGACATCCATTTTGGTCTTTTCTTTCTTTCCTATGTTTTTAATGACCTCATGCTTTGTTCATGTATTATGTCCTTGATGTCATCCCACAACTCATCTGGTCTTCAGTCATTTAGTGTTCAATGCATCAAATCTATTCTTGAGATGGTCTCCAAATTTTCAATGGAATATTCCTCAGCCATAAAGAGAATTTCAGTCTTGGTATGTGCTACAACGTGGATTAATTTTGAAAACATGCTAAGTGAAGTAAGTCTACCATGAAGGACAAAAATTGTATGATCTCACTTATATGAAATACCCCAAATAGGTAAACGTGTACAGATCAGAGTTTAATAGTGCTTACCAGGGGTGGGAGGGAGGGAGAAAGGGATATCACTGTTTAGGAAGCATTGAGTTTCTGTTTATGGTGATGGAAAATTTGGTAACAAATATCAGTGCTGGTTGCACAACACGACTGATGTAAATCGTGTCACTGAATTGTACACATGGAAAATACTGACTTGGCAAATGTTGTGTTTTATATATATATATATTTACAATAATAAAAAAAAATTAAACCAAACACAAAATACTGTGATTAACTTGATACATACTGTATTAATTTATACCTTTAAAAAAGTAACTTAGCAAAAACAGCACATTTTCTATAAACATATTTAATTTGCTCCCCCATTTAAAGACAATCTGATATTGAAATTTTTATAGTTGCTAAAATTGGAAGCAGAGACATTCCCATATTTTCCTCCCTCATGTAGCCATCTTCACATTTTGAGAGGAAAAATAAACATACATTGTGCATTTTGCTATGAACTTTTGCTGAAGTTCTTAGAAACTTCATCCACTAACGCCAATAGAGACTTTTTTAAAACCAAAGGGGCTTTTCATTTGCCTGGGTAGACAAAGGGTTAAATAAAATAAGCCACTGGATTCTTGCTCCCAGCATCCTTGTCTTTCTCTCCTCCGTCTTTGCCTAGGATCAAGGTTCAGGGGTCCCTTCTGACAGGGAATCATGAAACTTAAAAGAAAAAAAATAATCTAAATACAATTAGTCATTTTTAATCATTTTCACATCACCTTCTCTTCTCCAATCATCTCATCAGTTGAAGTCTGACCTAAAGCAGTCTTTGAATCAAATCACACAAAACTTCCTAGAGAAGAACACGTTAAAAACTTGTTGTTGTCAAGTCAGTTCTAACTCACCGTAACCCCATGCGTTACAGAGTAGAACTGATCTGTAGGGTTTCTTTGGCTATAATCTTTACAGAAGCAGATTGTCAGGCCTTTCTTCCATGGTGCACGTTCGGGAGGTTCAAACTGCCAGCCTTTAGGCTAGTAGTGAAGTGGAGTGAAACTGTGCTATCCAGCGATCTGAAGAACGTGTTAGAAGCTCTATATTCTATTTAAATTTGCTAAGGTTGCTGTGGTAGGGTTGCTAAGATTTGCTAAGGGGCATTGGTGGTTCAGTGGTAGAATTCTCACCTATCATTCGGGAGGCCTAGGTTCGATCCTGGCCAATGCACCTTATACGAAGCTACCGCCCATCTGTCAGTGGAGGCTTGTGTGTTGCTATGATGCCAAACAGGTTTCAGCAGAGCTTCCAGACTAAGATGGACTAGGAAGAAAGGCCTGGTGATCTAGTTCCAAAAATCAGCCATTGAAAACCCTATGGAACACAATGTTTCACAAAGGGCCAATCCTCAATGGTGCAGGACTGGGCAGCATTTTGTTGCCATGTACACGGAGTCGGGTCGACTCCATGGCAGCTAACAATAACAGGGTTGCTGTGCTTCTCAAACGGACACTATTCGGAAATGGGGATGACACTCCAAAGTCCGCTGATGGAGGCAGCAAAATATCAGGGAAAAAAGTCTGGGTGTCACAGTGGGGACAGGTAATGACTGGTAGAAGCCACAAGGGGGCTTTCTTCCGTGCTCATAATGTTCTGTTTTGATCTCAGAGCTAGTTACATGCGTGTGTTCGGTCTGTGCAAATTCATCAAGCTGTATATTTATGATATGTGAAAAAAATCTGCATATGGGAAGCATGTAAAATAGACGACAGAATTAGAACTAATCTTCTAGAGGGCAGGAACTTTGTTTTGCTCACCACTATATCTCCAGTTGGGGAGACCTGGTGGTGCAGTAGTTAACAGCTCGACTGCTGAGGAGCCCTGGTGGTTAACAGCTTGGCTGCTAACGGAAAGGTCAGCAGTTCGAATCCACCAGGCGCTCCTTGGAAACCTTGTGGAGGCAGCTCCACTCTGTCCTATAGGGTCTCTATGAGTCGGAATCTACATGACAGGCAACAGGTTTTTGGTGTATATACTCAGTGAGCCTTGGTGGTGCAGTAGTTAATCGCTTGGTTGCTAACTGAAAGGTCGGTGGTTTCACTCCACAAAAGAAAGATGTGGCAATCTTTTTCCATAAAACCCTATGGGGAAGTTCTCCTCTGTCCTATAAGGTCACTATGAGTCGGAATCAACTCAATGGCAACTTTTTTTTTTTTTTATCCCCAGTGCCAAGAACAGTGGTTAACACAGAGTAGGCCGTGCGCTCAGTAAATATTTATTGAACAAATGAATGAAAGTATCTCTTTTCTAGAAAAGCTTCCTGTGCAGTTCCATTAAATAGCTCCTTTGTACATACACAATATAATATCTGCAGATTTTATTTATATCCAACTGATTACACACACAAAAAAGTACACCTACACAAAAGCATTATTTGAAGTGGGTCTTCTCTTAAGGACATTCACCACAGCCCAGGTGTGTACACGCTCAGTGCCTCCTCACTCAGGTTTCTGAAGCGCTCGCCTTCCCACCTGGCCATTATCATCATCACTGACAGGTCAGTACCATTCCAGAGATGCCTTGTCTTCATTTACTGTCACTGCTGCAATAGAAGAATGATGTGGTATACAGGCACTGGCCTTCAGTCCAAAGACCACCTCACGACCCTGCATTAGAGGGGTGGGTGGCCTCTCTGAGCCCTGATGTCCTCATATTGAAACCGAAAGCATTCGTTGCCTGAGTTCTCTTCCAGCTCTAAAGTTCTTGGATCATGTGAAATGTTCAGCAACTTTCCAGTAATAAAGTAGAAAGAAGATTGAAAGAAGACCATAAGTCAGTATGATAAAGAATGCAAAATGCATCCTTTTTTCCAATTGATCGGTCAATTATAATCATTCTAAAAGCTATTCCAGGAATAGCTGGTTTCACTTTAGTTCAAATTCTTTTGTTTCTGCTAGGAACGTGGAGGATCTTCATAAATGCACCACACATTCCCACATCTTTAGAGTATCAAATGCTTTCCTAAGATGTTAAACTAGGATCTTACTCAAACGCAACATCCAGCTTGAATAACTCTTCTGCGGTCAAAATAGCACATGCAGGCCTCTGGGCCATAAAAACATTTGCCTTTTCTTTTAAAAAAATAATTTTTTTTTTCTTAAAAATTGTGATGTCCCAGAAACATCTCTGGTGTTTGCACCTGAGTAGTGCAAATGTTTTGCGGTTCAAATCTTCCTAGAGGCACCTGGGAAGAAAGTTCTGGCGATCTACTTCTGAAAGATCACAGCCATTGAAAACACTATGGAGCACTGTTCTACTCTGAAACATGCGGGGTCGCCAAGAGTCAGAATCGACTCCACAGCAATGGTTTTTTGTTGTTTTTGTTTTTTACCAGAAACATCTCAGCTTCTCTATAATCACAGGGGGCTTTGGTGAATAAGAACAGTCCAGTGACTGTAACGGGTTGGGCTGTGGATTAACAGCCATGTACTTAAAAGCTAGCAGGAATGAAAGAGCATGTAAAGGAATTAAAGGGTGATACAGGGGAATAAAAGATTATTCCACAATACGGTTCTCTGAAGGACAACTCTGCTTGCTATTGCGAGGTCGGCAGGGGTCAGAATTAAATGGGTTTATAATATATAACCCTGGTTTAGAATACTCAGCTGTTTCAGGCTTCCCCTAAACTAATGATAAGCCTCCAGAACGCCATGTTTTCACAGTCTTGGATCATAAAACATAGGGGCTAAAAGGTAATCCTGGCTCCCCCACTTCCTAGCTGCTGGCCTTGGGAAAGTTATTTGACCTCTCTGGGCCTCCATCTCCTTAATTTTTAAACGGGCTGTTGTGGGGATCAAATGAGATAATGCATGCAACATGAGAAGGGCCTTGCACACCTGGAGCTCTAAAAAAATGTTGACCATCATTACCATTAACGTAGAAAGCATCCAATTGTCTAAATCACTTTCAGCATTTCCAGGCCTCATTCACTCACGAGTTCTTACGGTATTTTACTAACAAGGCATGGCGAGCATAAAGTAAAACCAATCAAAACTGCCCGGTTTCCATAGGTTTGCATTCGGTGGCTACTGTGTTCCTTCCTAGGACAACCTCAGGGGGAGCTCCTGGTGCAGAACGAATGCCTCCTGCCCCACTATACTTGGTTTCATCTCTTCTTGCAAAGGCCTTGGGAAAGAAAGAACCCAGTCCCTCAGACCAGAACCTCTGCGTGGTAACCGTCCCGAACCGGGAAAGGAAAAGAACGCTTCCCTCTCAGCACTGGGCTGGAGCTGCTGGTGTGAAAAGGACAGAAGAGGGATAGGGTAGGAAAAAGACGCCACTGCTCCGCGCCCACCCCGCTTCGTGCCCGCTGCTGTGCAGGAGCCGCCCCAGAGAGTGCGAAGGGTAGAAAAGACGTCGCCCGCCAGCCGGGAATCGGGCGGGCGTGGGAGGTGGTCGGGAGCGGAGGCAGGTGGCCTGCTCGCCAGACCCCAGGAAACCCAATGACAACGCCTGCAGCCCGGAGCGCCCCGCTCTAGGGGAAATGACGATTCCCAGTCTTATCGGACACTGGCGCCGAAGTCACCCCTCGGCACAAGGGCTGACGCGGGCCCACTGTGGGTGAGCCGGCGGGCAGTCGTAGGACCAGGATGCTGCGGCGCCAGCCGGTGCGGCGTGGAAGGGGCCGGGGGCGGCGCACGGGCAGATGGTGCTCGCTGCTAGATGAATGCTGAGCACAGGCAGTCTCACTCCTAGCTCCTCACAGCATCCTCGGGCGGCGCCGTTGCAGATCCCACCTCTGGGAGCCTGGGCAGGGAAGGGACTCTTTCAAGTCAGCCCCAAGCCCCGGCTCTGCATCCCTGACGAGTCCCAGCTCCCAGAGGCTGGGCGGGGCGCGGGGACTCCCAGGGCCCGCACCTGTAGGGCCAACAAAGCCTCCTGGAAAGTCCCCCTCGTCCCGCCGCCCTCAGTGTTTCTCCTGCTCCTCCCTGATCCCCGACTCCTCTCCAGGGCAGCGAGTGGGGAAGTGCAGTCGGTCTCGCCCACCTGAACTCCAGCGATCCGCGCAGGTGTGAGCACACCCGAACAAAGCCCACGCCCAGATGTGTCCTTGGGGACTGGAGCGCGCACACGCCGGTGTGCGCCGGCCGGGTACCTGCGCTCCTCGCCCCGCCGGCACTGTGGCCGTGACACCCTGCGTCCTGCGTGTCCATGCCCCGAGAGCCACAGAGCCGGGCCAGCAGCCTCTCCATGCCCGGGCTGCCCCAGGGAGACCTCCAGGCAGGGCTTCCCGGAGAACGTGGGGCGCGGGCGCGGAGGCAGAAGTTGGCCACAGACTCGAGGCGACAGTGGGTGCCGGCCTGCCCGCGCCAGCCGTGGGCTGCAGTGTCTCAGCTGTGCCTCACCCGTCCGCCCGGCCCCCTCCTCCCATTCGGCGCCCGCTGCGTTGTCGGTGGCCTGCGAGGGAGAAGGGAGTTGGCGACATGTTTCGCCCCTTCCTCAGGGAGAGCTGGCGCGGCGGTGCCAGCCGGGAGAGAGCTCGGCTCAACCCCGGGCCGGTATCCCAGTAACAACGCAGCAGCCCCCTGCTCCTCCTCCTCGCCCCAGTCGTCGCCCCCGAGCAGGACCCAGTGTCACTGCCAAACGCTCACCGAGCTACTCACGTTCTCACGCCGCGCCCACCGCTCAGCCCCGGCGCAGCTGCCCAGGACTCTGGAGCGCAGAATCTGCCGGTTCTTGGCCGAGCTAGGCTCGCGGACTAAGCTGTCGCCTCTGGCTGCCACGGCCAGGCGGCCGGTGAGCTGTCCCCCGCGCCCGCGCGTCTGAGGTTCCGGCTGCGGCGCGCGTCCGCCGGCGACCCTGGCGAGGCTGGCCCCGCGCCGGCGCGCGCCCCCGCCCGCCGCTCCCGCCTCCTGCTCCCCACCTCCGCGGCTGTCTCTCTACTGCCGGCTCGCCTCCTAGTGTCCCCCGCCCCTTCCCCTCCTGGCCAAGCCCCTCCCGGCCCTGCGGCGGCAGCAAATGGGCTCCAGCTACATGCGCCTCAGAGGGCTGGGTGCCCCCTCACCTGGGCGGCCGCGCCGCTACCACCCTCCGTCATCTGGCGGCGAACGTGTGTTGGGAAAGCGGGGGCGGGGGGGGGGAGAGGATGCAGGGCGGGGGCGTTCGGGGAGACGAGGATGGCTGGGATTTGGCTACAAAAGCTGTTCCAGAAAATGGGTGGTTTTTAAATG